GAGCTAACAAAGTGTGCAAGCTCCAGCGATCCATTTATGGACTGGTGCAAGCCTCTCGGAGTTGGAATAAACGCTTTGATAGTGTGATCAAAGCATTCGGTTTTATACAGACTTTTGGAGAAGCATGTATTTACAAGAAAGTGAGTGGGAGCTCTATAGCATTTCTGATATTATATGTAGATGACATATCACTGATTGGAAATGATATAGAATTTCTGGATAGCATAAAGGGATACTTGAATAAGAGTTTTTCAATGAAAGACCTCGGTGAAGCTGCTTACATATTAGGCATTAAGATCTATAGAGATAGATCAAGACGCTTAATTGGACTTTCACAAAGCACATACCTTGACAAAGTTTTGAAAAAGTTCAAAATGGATCAAGCAAAGAAAGGGTTCTTGCCTGTGTTACAAGGTGTGAAGTTGAGTAAGACTCAATGCCCGACCACTGCAGAAGATAGAGAGAAAATGAAAGACGTTCCCTATGCTTCAGCCATAGGATCTATCATGTATGCAATGTTGTGTACCAGACCTGATGTGTGCCTTGCTATAAGTCTAGCAGGGAGGTACCAAAGTAATCCAGGAGTGGATCACTGGATAGCGGTCAAGAACATCCTGAAATACCTGAAAAGGACTAAGGATATGTTTCTCATATATGGAGGTGACAAAGAGCTCATCGTAAAAGGTTACGTTGGTGCAAGCTTTGACACTGATCCAGACGATTCTAAATCGCAAACCGGATACGTGTTTACGTTAAACGGTGGAGCTGTCAGTTGGTGCAGTTCTAAACAAAGCGTTGTAGCGGGATCTACATGTGAAGCGGAGTACATGGCTGCTTCGGAAGCAGCAAATGAAGGAGTCTGGATGAAGGAGTTCATATCCGATCTAGGTGTCATACCTAATGCATCGGGTCCAATGAAAATCTTTTGTGACAATACTGGTGCAATTGCCTTGGCAAAGGAATCCAGATTTCACAAGAGAACCAAGCACATCAAGAGACGCTTCAATTCCATCTGGGATCTAGTCCAAGTGGGAGACATAGAGATTTGCAAGATACATACGGATCTGAATGTTGCAGACCCATTGACTAAGCCTCTTCCACGAGCAAAACAAGATCAACACCAAGGCTCCATGGGTGTTAGAATCATTACAGTGTAATCTAGATTATTGACTCTAGTGCAAGTGGGAGACTGAAGGAAATATGCCCTAGAGGCAATAATAAAGTTATTATTTATTTCCTTATATCATGATAAATGTTTATTATTCATGCTAGAATTGTATTAACCGGAAACATAATACATGTGTGAATACATAGACAAACAAAGTGTCACTAGTATGCCTCTACTTGACTAGCTCGTTAATCAAAGATGGTTATGTTTCCTAACCATGAACAATGAGTTGTTATTTGATTAACGGGATCACATCATTAAGTGAATGATCTGATTGACATGACCCATTCCATTAGCTTAGCACCCGATCGTTTAGTATGTTGCTATTGCTTTCTTCATGACTTATACATGTTCCTATGACTATGAGATTATGCAACTCCCGTTTGCCGGAGGAACACTTTGTGTGCTACCAAACATCACAACGTAACTGGGTGATTATAAAGGAGCTCTACAGGTGTCTCCAAAGGTACATGTTGGGTTGGCGTATTTCGAGATTAGGATTTGTCACTCCGATTGCCGGAGAGGTATCTCTGGGCCCTCTCGGTAATGCACATCACTTAAGCCTTGCAAGCATTGCAACTAATGAGTTAGTTGCGGGATGATGTATTACAGAATGAGTAAAGAGACTTGCCGGTAACGAGATTGAACTAGGTATTGGAATACCGACGATCGAATCTCGGGCAAGTAACATACCGATGACAAAGGGAACAACGTATGTTGTTATGCGGTCTGACCGATAAAGATCTTCGTAGAATATGTAGGAGCCAATATGAGCATCCAGGTTCCGCTATTGGTTATTGACCGGAGACGTGTCTCGGTCATGTCTACATTGTTCTCGAACCCGTAGGGTCCGCACGCTTAAGGTTATGATGACAGTTATATTATGAGTTTATGCATTTTGATGTACCGAAGTTTGTTCGGAGTCCCGGATGTGATCATGGACATGACGAGGAGTCTCGAAATGGTCGAGACATAAAGATTGATATATTGGAAGCCTATATTTGGATATCGGAAGTGTTCCGGGTGAAATCGCGATTTTACCGGAGTACCGGGAGGTTACCGGAACCCCCCGGGAGGTACATGGGCCTTAATGGGCCTTAGTGGAAGAAGAGGAGAGGCGGCCAGGGCTGGGCCGCGCGCCCCTCCCCCCTAGTCCGAATAGGACAAGGAGAGAGGGGGCCGGCGCCCACTTCCTTCTCTCTCTCTCTCTTTTCCCACCTCGCGAGTCCTATTCCAACTAGGATTGGGGGAGAAGTCCTACTCCCGGAGGGAGTAGGACTCCTCCTGGCGCGCCCTATGTGGCCGGCCAGCCTCCCCCTCTTGGTTCTTTATATACGGAGGCAGGGGCACCCCAGAGAGACACAAGTTGATCCACGTGATCTTATTCTTAGCCGTGTGCGGCGCCCCCTGCCACCATAGTCCTCGATAATATTGTAGCGGTGCTTAGGCGAAGCCCTGCGATAGTAGTACATCAAGATCGTCACCACGCTGTCGTGCTGACGGAACTCTTCCCCGACACTTTGCTGGATCGGAGTCCGGGGATCGTCATCAAGCTGAACGTGTGCTAAAACTCGGAGGTGCCATAGTTTCGGTGCTTGATCGGTTGGGCCGTGAAGACGTACGACTACATCAACCAAACGCTTCCGTTGTCGATCTACAAGGTACGTAGATCACACTCTCCCCTCGTTGCTATGCATCACCATGATCTTGCGTGTGCGTAGGAGAATTTTTGAAATTACTACGTTCCCCAACATTACCACCCTATGATATGGTTGGACATGGTAAGTCAAGTCACTGTTCATTTGGCAAAAGTGTACATAGATGGGTGTCGAATTAGATCAAGACACATAGTACAAATGATGTGGCAGGTTGATAACCGGATCGTGACAAATAGGACAAGAAGCGCGTCCTAACTGTTGGCATGATTTATGGACATATGCCATTTTGCAGGAAAAAATAGCTGGTATTTTCATTAATGGGCTTTCTATAAGAATGGGGTAAATATTCCACCAATATATGCGATATTTAATCTTCCTAATTAGGAAGGCGTTTCACATGCTTGGCACGCGGATAAAATGGGTAATAACACATGCCATCCCGGGATGAAGTTGTGCTAGAGATAGAGCCGCCTGACCTAGATTCAGGGGTTGGTGGTGGACAACTTCTTGACACCAAGGAAGATGGTGGCACCATGGATGGTTGTCTATGTGCCCCCACGCTCCTCCTCTGAGGAAGATTGCGACGGCGCCTGTGAATGGCCTCTTTGTCCCTTGCTCCTCGTGTGAGTCTATAGGCAGACGAACTGGTGACTAAGGAGGAAGGTGATGGAGATGCCACAAGGGAGGAATACAACCCTAACCCTAGTGTGTCACCGCCACCAACTGCACACAAAGCACAATACTATTCTCTAGTGCCCCCTCCCCCCGGCTTTCCCCATCGTTGTGCCGCTAACCCTATCGAAGCCTAGTCGCGTCCAATCACGCCTTCTCCTTAAGGACGTGTCAACTCCTTCGAGCCAGAACACCAAAGCAAAACAAACTAAATGGCGAATCATACTTTTGCACCTAAGCACAAAATGACTAAGCAATTGTGTGCAACACTACTAGATCTAGATGTTGACGAAGCATAATATCGAGGGTGATGCGTGGTGGCCAAAGAGATGACGACGTGGGGTACAAGGTGGCGGAGGCATCTCGCTTGCGTTTGACTCCATTGGATTTTGCTTCTTGATTGACCATGGGAGGCATATACATTGGGAAGACCTGAGGAAGGATCTCGATCTTGCACCGCGCTGCTGCGGAAGGGGCGCAAGTGTTGATGGCTTAATAGGATTGGAGGGCCCTAGTTTTGATGTCCTTATTATTTCCCCAAGGTGGATTATATTCGGAAGTCTTATATATTTCCACTCTTCTTACACGGCAATGCGCTCTTGCAAGAAACAAATTTCTATCAGACCAGGCCTAACTAGTTGGAGAGTTATTTTCCATCCGAGTAGAAGACACTAACAATTTCAATCTTAGAGTATCGCCAACAGTCGTCCTATAATAAGTGTGAGTCATTTTTAGGGCTTTAGGGCGCAAAGAGCCAAAAAGGCCTCCAACCGATGCCCAATTCTAAATTTCTTGCAAAATCTTTTTTAGGCAGCCCTAAAAGAGGCTCATTGTGCGACAAATTTGGGGCACTTCGGCGCCTGCCCAAAAACATGAGGCTACTTCCGGGCGCCTTCATGCAACCGAAAATCCTTGGATCCGTTCGGTGGCCGGGCCCCCAACCCGAATATGCTTGCTGCTCCCTTCTAATTTTAGAGTAGCTGTTGGAGCAGTTTTGCCCTATTTCATGAATTTTTATTTATTTATTATAGGGCTACTGTTGGAGAAGGCGCTTGCTTGTGTAAAAAGAGAAGAAGGTTTTTGTGCCTAATTCTTTTTACTCCATCATGTTTTCGTGCCCTATTATAGAGCTGTCGTTGGAGATGCTCATAGTGCATTCAGTCCCGCTTGTAGAGTATACGTGGACACCGCCACGCACGCAGGTAGTGTCAGTGTCTGCAGCCAAGGACACATCATCCCAAAGCCACGGCAACCTATTGGACACCGCCACGCGTGCAGGAAGTCTACGTGGCCTCTCGCGCATCAGCGGCCGATCAGCGCGCAACCGACGGCAGGGATAAACCCACGTCGAAACCACAAAATAAATAAAATCTCTCGTAATTAAAGGTCAGCACGAAGCAACCCCTCCTCAAATGGCAACTCCCCCGATCCCGAAGACGACGCTCCGAGTCGGCTCCCACTGATCGCTTCTAGAAGCTTCCACAAAGCTCCGGCCCGCCGCCATGGCCGCGCCCTTCTTCTCCACCCCCTTTCAGCCCTACGTCTACCAGGTCGGTGCTGCTCCCTCATCTCGCACGTTTCTCGTCCCCGCGTAGATTCTAGGTCTTGATTCGAGGTCGCGGGGCTGGATCCGCACGATCCGTGCCGCTCTGCTCCCGATTGGGCCCCCTCTCATGATCTGATTCGGTTTGAATTGCGTGGTTCCCCTTTTTCAGAGCCAACAGGGATCTGTGACGGCGTTTCAGATATCCGGTGGGGATGTGCAGGTCCTGCAGGTAGTTTCCCGTGCCTAATTCTCGCTCGCCTGTTCTATATTCAGATGGATCGAGTTGTCATCATTTCTAATTACTTGTGGGGGGAAAATGCTTTTTAGGTGATGGTGAAGTCGCAGGACAAGTTGACTGCGAAACCAGGTAATTGAACCGACTCGTTTCTATTCTGCGGCTGAAATTTGCAGCTTGCAAGCTTAACAAGGTGACATGCCGAATACATGTTTAGCCTGGTATTCATGTGGCACTTGGCAGAAATTATTAAAAAGTTATACCCCTAGTTTCAATTGTATAGTATCCTTAAACCATCTTAATGTTTTGTATACCTATTTGGCATGTCCACTACGGTTTTGTTCAATAACGCCTTGAAAAATCATTGTGCATCAGCCGTGTGTTGATAGTTGTTACTGCAAGGTGCTTCATCGCGTCGCGTATTTTCTTTCTATGTATGATGTGCCTCTCATAGAGGTTGTTTGCGTGTACCCTTTTTTCTTCTCATTGCTGTCAATGTTCAGGATTTTGGTAACTGTTAGCTGCTTGGTCCGGTGCCGAGTAGGGATTAATCGGCGAATCATCCTATTAACTGAATTATCGATAACCCATTTCTCGGTAGGTTAACTAGGGCCGTATTGATATATCCTAGGCTACATGGCAACATACGATGTACTAAACGTCCGAATATGCAATCCTGGGCTACATAGTTACATACACATCACCAATCTTCATAGATCACATAGGAGAGGGGAGATTACCTTGATGCTTGAGGAAGCCATGGACAGAGGAGGGGAGGAGCAGGCGATGAAACAGGAAGAAATAGCAAGCTTGGGGAAGCAATCTGGAAGACGGCGCCGTTGGCTGGTCGGTGAGGAGGCGGCGAGCTCGGGGGCGGGGGCACTGGCTGCTCCTTGTTGCTGGATGAGGGGAGGCGAGCGGATGAGGGAGGCTCCTGGAGGAGGGGAGGCGCTGGCTGGCTGATGTTGCTGGCGGCTGCTTGGGGCGGAGGCGGTGGCAGCGGCGGCGGCGGCGGCGGCTGCTCCTCTGGGGAGCGGGAGCCCTAAACCTAGATCGGGAGAAGGGAGGGATACATGCGAGGCTATATTTTGGGCAATTAGTCCGCCCACCCGATAATTTGCCCTTTTATTGGCTATCAGGGCTATTTGGGCCTTTTATTGGCTATCAGGGCTATAATCAGCCGGCCCATTTAATGGGCCGAATAGGGCTATTTGGTTCGGAAGGGTGCCGTGCAGCACTTATCGTGATATTTTTTAACATTGATTGCTGTACTTTTTGCCTTTTTAGGTACAATGTGTTACATGTCCGGGAACATTCAGATGGACAACAATTACTTGCCTGAAAACGATGGAGGCGTGTGGCAGTGGATATTTGGAAAAAGCATAACCAGCACTGTTTTCTTCAATCCTGGCCCTGATGATGGATATGTGGGGATTTCTGCACCATTTCCTGGGAGGATACTGCCTGTTAGTATATCTTTTCTGTGAAGTCATTACGATGTTTAAGTCTTAGCTTCATCTTCTATTTTTCAGCTTAGCTCTGAGTTGTTTCTATACTTTCCATGCAAAGCCATAGGATGCTCATGCCAATTACACCATTATTTCTGCTCATCATTAAAAGTTTACAAATCCTTTGTCACCAAAATAGAATTCTGTCACTTGTTTGTGTTACTAGCTGTGTAGTTACCAAATATCCTTGGCTGCAGACATTGAATTTTCGTCCTTTAGAAGTAATGATGAGATAAATTCTTGGTGGTAATAGGATGCATTAACATTAAAGTTACATTTAAGTATGAATTTGTTTATCCTATTTGCCTATGTTGGCTTTAAGAATGTCTTTGTTGAGTTAAAAAAGAGGTAGCTGCAGTTTTATCTTGTCAAACTAATAATAATACACTCATTGCGAATATTTTAGTGGTCATGGTATCTTAAATCACATTACTTATATTGTCAACCGAAGCTGTTGTCTTAGTCTCACCATAATTACTTGCTTTTGTTACAGATAGATCTAGCAAACTTTGGTGGAGAACTACTTTGCCAGGTAAATTATCTTGAAGTCTGTAATCTCCTTTGAAACAGTCGCATGAACCTCTTAATGTACCAAATTGCAGGCAGATTCTTTCCTCTGCTCGGTCAATGATGTGTCAGTCACAAGTAGTACAGTTGATCAGCGGCCGCGCAACATTGAAATTGGTGCAGAGGTAGGGTAATTGTTGAGGTACCTTATTGATTATGAGGTCATGTGGCTCCTGCAAGTTTGTGTTCAGTTCATTTGGCATGCTTCTGGGAAACTTGCTTGCCAGGAAATGAAATATGCACGTTTTTCTTCTACAGATGATCCTCAAACAGAAGCTTAGGGGTCAAGGGATGGCCTTCCTTGTTGGCGGTGGATCAGGTACACTTCAGACTTCACCCTTACATCGCAGTGTTGAGTGTTAATATAGATATTAGCAATTATAGGCTTAAAACTGCAATGCTATTATGTTTGAGTAAGTTTAGACCTGAATATTTTAGGTCTTAAATATTACAAAGCTGTGATTCTGTAAAAGCTCTAGGACAGCTTGATGCGATTATTGCTGAAACCTGAAATATGTCACGGCAAACTTCACTTTTTACTCAAATATGGATTTTGTTGGCATGGGAGTACTTAGTACAGCATCTGATTCAGTATACTTGCAGTATTTTGTGTTAAACTGTTACCAGCTAAATTTTCCGGGAGCACCAAATCTCTATTTTATTTTACAGAAGCATGAAACCTGTTGTCTGATGCTAATTTGGTTTTGGCACTAGCAAAATATTGCAACTTTGGTAAATTCGACAGGGTCGTAACTTTGGGAGCTTTTGCTCTTTACCTTTGTTATTAGTAATGCAGAAAATTCTTGCTCCCCGGGAGGTGATTACTGTTGATTGTGCTTGTATTGTGGCTATGACAACCACCATTAACTTTCAGTTACAGAACCCTACCCCACATAGAAGAGCAGTCCTTGTATTCGGGGTGAGTATATCCTGCTTCTCCTTTCCATACTAGTTCAAGAGGAGCAGTATGTTTCCTTTGTGTTGAAATTTCCTTTGTTTCGTTGCATTGAGAAGCATCATCTTATGCAGGGTGTCAACCAGCTAAAAGCATCTCTCACAGGACCTGGCGTCGTTTTCATTCAGAGCCTTCCCTTCAATCGGCTCTCGCAGCGCATCGCAAGGTAAGAATTCCGCTGCAACACATCGCTTCCCAGTTCCCACAGCCCTCTTGCCTGTCACTGACTGTAAGTTCATTCATGTATTCTCAAGCAGTAGATCGGTGGGGGCCCCAAGCTTGAGAGACAACCCCAGGTTCTTCATCCAGATCGTCATGTTCTTCTTCCTGGCCTATGTCATGATTGTGTCGTCAATAATTCTGACGGATGTTTAGGCGATGATGCGACGAGCATATTGGTGTAATCCTTTTAGGATGTTGCCTGGAAGTTGGAAGAGTCAAAGTTGTTGC